TTTCTCAGGTAAAGGCACCTTCGCACAACCTATGTTATTCATTGAAGCGAGTACCCAATGTTTTTCAACGTTGACCATCAATGGATTTCCAAGTCGAGAAAAACATACATCTTCTACATCATTGGAGTAACCAGCACACATTAACGAATTATTGATAAATGCTTTGTCTCTACGACCAACTTTTGCGTATGATTTACCACAATCATCAGATCTAATTATCGGCGAAGTGGTTATTTGCAAATTTGAAGGCGATTTTCTCTCCATTCGATCTACAAGAATAAAGGAATAAACAATGTCAATTGTTAAGTATGAATGAAGAAAAAGAATGAATCACTCACGTAGTTTTTTGAAGCCATTAACTGTTCCATGGCGACCATAAAAAGTTTCATCTTCTCCAGGCTCTGGTAAACAAATTGGTTGGATATTCCTACTGAACTGAACTGGTTCTTTCAATAATAAAAGAGCGATATTGTTTTCTTCTGTTCGACTATCAATATCCGGATGGATATAACTTTTTTCAACTCCAATTGTTTTGTTGTTCCATTCGTCACCTAAAACAACTTTATTAAACAGAATGACTGAATGCACAATGAGCCGCAGTCAAGACCCATCGATTTGAAATCAAAACACCACTACACCATTTGTAATAAAATTCGCCAAGATTCGCTTCTATCGAAGTGTAGAATGGCACTTTTCCTGGGATAGTATCGAAGAAAATTGTAAAGCATCGACTTGAACTTTTTTCAAATGACCATGACAATTAGTTAACAATAGATTGACCTCTAAGTCTCCTGGATCCATCTTCACTCTTGATCAAACTCAAGTGAGATAATAAAGCTTGAGCTGATACATAAGAAGACCCTGTCTCAATTAATCTTTTGATCAATAAATCAGACTCTTTTAAAACATTTTCTGGTAAACTAAAAGTTGATTCATTAGATCTTTCAGTATTAATTTTCCCAAAAGCTGAGCACAATTCATTTGAAGTAGTTCAATAATCAAGAATGTATGAACAATTATCTGCACAAAAACATTGCTACTCAAATTTAATGTTAGGTCAGTAAAGGTTTTTGAGGAATCGCCAAATATGTTAACTATTAAATCAACAACTTGTTCACCTCCGATCTCATTACCACTTACGTCAAGCCATTTCAACAGTAAAGGCCCAAAACGGCCAAAATCAGAAAGGCCAAATACAAAGCTGCTTAAATCATATCAATTCAAATTGCAAAAAAGTCTGAAAAACCTTTCTATGGATATTGGTAAGCTAATTTATTACAGTTTATCAACTCCGATCGAGTCAAAAAACGGTCTAAAAACAAGTCATATTATTAATCCTTTCAGGAATCAAGAAACAAGTTTTATTGGGAATCAGCCTCGTTTAAGTTTCCCTGTTGCATCTGTAGCAGTAGGAATTCGTCCAAGAGAAAATTGTAAAGCATCGACTTGAACTTTTTTCAAATAACCACGACAATTAGTCAACAATAGATTGACCTCTAAGTCTCCTGGATCCATCTTCACTCTTAATCAAACCCGTGTGAGATAATATAGCTTGAGCTGGTTCATAAGAAGGCCTTTTCTGAAGTCGATTTATTAAAATCTGCATTTTCACGAAAGTTGAACACATTTAATCTAAAGTAAAAT